CCGTTCGCTCGTCCGTAGTCGTCGTCACGGGCGACGGCGGCGACTGCGACGACGGGAGTACCGCAGGAGGAGGAGGAGGAGGAGGAGGAGTGGGAGGAGGAGGAGGAGGACGATACGTTTCGGTGCAGCACGTCACTTTACTGTGCAATCCGTGTCTATGGTTCCAGAGTGTATTCCCGCCTCACGGCGGAGCACGACTTGCATACTCGCGCTCTCACTGTTCGATCAGTTTGAAGTAGTGCCCCATCCTCATTGCCATCGTTTCTTAAACTAGCATGGTAGCGGAGCAAGGTCATGGCGTTAAGAGCGGTTCAAGCGATACCGAGTGCACATCAGTAATGTATTACATGTAATCTTGGCAACCTCGGACTCAGCTGCTTGACCGCAGTCATTGCAGGTGCTTAGGCTTACGTCAAAGCCTCGCGTCAAGCCAACCATGACCCAATTTCGATTAGCTTTGAAGAGCAAGAGTGGCCAGGGAACCAACGCTTGCAAACGAGCATGCCGTGCCAATGATACGAATGTTGGGCAAGTCCAACCCAAACCCACCAAACATCATTAGCCGTGCGAACAAGCATGATGCTGAAACGGCATTCGTGAAGACCGGAGGGGCGCAACAGGAACGAGTAATTGAGATAATTTGGGCACTTCAGAATTTCTTGCCCTGCTAGCCGGTAAAATGGGATGTAGCAACGAATCGAGAGCAAGCCAGTCATTCAGGAAGTTCAGCGGAGACAAATCCACGTTCTGTTAATGGCATGACACATTGTTGAATTCCGTAGCAAAGGTAAACACGAAATTTCAAGGCCTTGAAGTTGTTGAATTCGACAGTGGAGAATGGACATTGCCAGCCCACCTGAAGAAGGTGGCACAATCATAATCATGGGTGGCATGATGACAGCTGCAGAAAAGAACACAACAACACTTGTCAAACAGGCAATATGGCGAGTTACATACAGAGTACGTGTTGGATGAGGGCAAGTATAAGTATGTTGAATGCGGACTGTTGTGCGTATTCACAAATGATCTTGAGAGTGCCGAGGCTCGAGGTCAACTGCGCGGACTAAAGGAAGGCGAAAGGCGCAAATGGTGCCTGGCAGTGACTTGTGTTGCCCTTCCCGCCAAGATGGGTTCAACCAGGACCCCGAAAGGCCCAATCACGTAACTGACACTTCGTTGCAATTCGAGCAATGTAGTGCGTTCTGGGAAAAGCTCGAGATGTATGGGTCATCGCATGCGCTGCCCCTTCCCTTCAGGACCACGGCTCTTGCTATTGCGATGGCGCGCTCAGGTGAATGTCGTGGCAATTGGCAGCGGGACCGCTTCAAAGCGCCCGACTCATTAGACGATGATTCTTATGATATCAGAAAGAGCGTGTTCTACCGCTGCTGGCGGAATACCAGGGGGGTCACTGGGGGGTCCCAACCTGCCCCCCCCCCCCCCGAAAACCGGGGGGGGGGGATCACTACCGGTTCGAACACCCCCCCCCTTCCAGTCCATCATGAAAAGGGGGGGGGTCACTACTGGTTCGAACCGCCCCCCCCTCGAAAAATGGGGGGGGGTCACTACTGGTTCGAACCCCCCCCCAACCCCTTCGAAAGCCGGGGGGGGGGTCACTATTGGTTCGAACCCTCCCCCCACCCCTCGCCGCCAGCAAACGATGCCCGCTCCTCGGGACAGTTGGAGAATGGTGGGGATGTTGGGACAGTGGTTGGAACGGTGGTGGTGGGGACAGTGGTGCGGCGACAGTGGGACAGCGGTGCGGTGGGGACAGTTGGACAGTGATGGTGACAGTGGGGACGGTGGGACAGCACAGTGGGACAGCGGCGGGGACACTGGGACAGTGGTGGGAACAGTGGGGACGGTGGGGCAGTGGTGGGGACCGTGGGGAAAGTGGGGAGAGTGGGACCGTGGTGGGACAATGGTGGGGAGAGTGTGGACAGTGAGACACTGGTGGGGGGCAGTGGTGGGGACAGCGGGGACAATGGTGGGAACAGTGGGGATAGTGGGACAGTGGTGGGGACAGTGGTGGTGGGTACAGTGGTGTGGGGACGGTGGGAATGTGGTGGAAACAGTGGGACAGTGTAGGGTACAGTGGTGGTGGCGACAGTGGTGAGGGCGGTGGCGAGGACGGCGGTGGGATAATGGGACAGAGGTACAGTAGGGACAGTGGTGGGGACAGTGGGGACAGTGGTGGGAACTGTGGGACAGCTCAGTGGGACAGCGGCGGGGACAGTGGGACAGTGGGACAGTGGGGACAGTGGGACAGTGGTTGGGGCCGTGGAGAAAGTGGGGAGAGTGGAACCGTGGTGGGAACACTGGGGACTGGGGGCAGTGCGACAGTGGTGGGGGCACTGGCGAGGACAGTGGTGACGGTGGTGGGAACAGTGGGGGCAGTGGTGGTGAGGACTGGTGCTGGGGGCAGCAGTGGGGGATGTGGTGCGGACTGTGGTAGGGGCCCTGTGCTGGCGGTGAGCGTGGGGTGGGGGGGGAGGGGTTCGAACCGGTAGTGGCCTCCCCCAGTTTTCGAGGGGGGGGGGGGGTTCGAACTGGTAGTGACCCCCCCGGTTTTCGAGAGGGGGGGCGAGAGGGGGGGTTCGAACCGGTAGTGGCCCCCCCGGTTTTCGAGGGGGGGGGAAATAGTGTGTAATCACGAGTAACAGAAGGTTTAATGTGGATTAAACCTTTGTGAACTTGTACCTGCAGTGCCTCACCATAGGAACGGGTTTACTCCATATTAAAACTCTCTACATCTGAAGCGCCCCTCTGGCCACCATTTCGCCTCTGCTTTCATTCCGCGGCGCATGCTCTTTTCACTCCCTGGGCTTGAGGTGGTTGGAATCCTATTGTTGTGAGAAGTTCGAAAACATTCAAAATTGGTTTTGAATTGGTTTTGAATCGCTTTCAGGATTGCAGTGAAATAGCAAATTGAAGCATAAACGATCATGGACATCCTTGCACTCGTGCCAGAGCGACCGAATCTTGCAAATGAAGCGAGCGCCGCTGAGCCTCGCGAACTTAGCGCTTCATGGCAAGACCCAACTACGTTCCCAGTGGGCACGGTCGCATGCCGAACTGGACGGCATAGCGGAAAAAGGGAGAGCAGGAGCAACGAGGGGGGAGGGGAGGAGGAGGAGGAGGAGGAGGAGGAGGAGGGGGAAGGTGAAGGAGGACGAACTCGAAGTTAGCCAGCTCGGCAAATATCAGTTGCAGGCGGCGGAGGAGGAGAAAAAGGAGGAGGGCGAAGCAAAGGACCTGCCACCCCTCGCCCGTCTCGAGCCGTGCTTTTTCGAAGACCTGATTTTTCGAAGCCTATGTTGTTTCAAAGTCCTTGGACATTGTCGGGCCCCCTCCCCGCAGCTGGAGCTCAACGGGAGTTTCGAAAATGCATGCTCGACGTGGCCCGTGGCAGCTGGAGCTCGGCGGGAGCTTCGCAACATCAGAGCTTACAAGCAACCACCTCGATCGGCCTGCCGTGATTCGAAACATTGCCCTGGTGGCGGCGCTCGCGGCCGCCCTCGCAGAATTCTGAAACGATGGAACCGCGGAGCCCCACGATCTGTTGCAGCTGCTCCTATACTTCGTCCCCCCTTCCACTCCCTCCTCTCCTCGTTCTTCCTCCCACCTGTAACCATTTTTGCCCAAACCATTGCCGTTGTGGCTCTCCGTGCAGTTGGATGCAGAACCCGTGGTCCGAGGTGGCCGCGGGGGTCGGAGACGACGGTGGTGCCAATCCCTGGGAGGAGGTCGCAGATGGTAGCATTGGCGAGTGCGCCATAGAATGTGAGGAACCACGCTCTGCGGACGAGGTCGAAGATGGCCCTGTTGCTGCCAACCCCTTCGCTGACTTGGTTGCGGATGGTAGCAGCGACGCGGGGTGCGCACAAGAATGTGATGAACCACCTCCCTCCGAACTCGCCATTGTTCCGCAACGCGCGGAATTGAGCGACCGCCAGCGACTCCAGATATGTTCTCGATTGCTGGGCGCCTTGTATTCGCAGTGGGCGGAGGCGTGCCAACGATTCCCTTCGCGTGCCGTTGCTCACGCAGCAGGTGGCGGCGCCGGGGCCGCCGCTGATGCAAGTGCACTCGAGGACGGCGCGGCCGAGGACGAGGCAGGCGGAGTGATCGTCCCCGCCATGCCTCGAAATCCGTGTGATTTCGTGTGCACCTTCAATACAGCCTTGTTAGAGGAAGAGGTCGCATTTTCTTTGACATCAGGGTCGTTTATAATGCAAATTCTGAACCTCGGTGATCGTTATAGAGACGTGTTGACGCCGTGCCGAAATAGCGCTCGCATTGTTGATCATGACTTGGAGGTGCCTGGCAACGTTGTAAACATAGGATCGTCGGTGTGGCAAGCTTCGAAGCTGAATGTGCCCAGGTCCTTGCTACGCCCCACTCGTTCGTTGCTCGCTTGCGCTACTTGGGTCATCCACGGACAGTTCATGAGAAATGTGATGTCCAGTGTCGTACTTGACGTAAAACGCCTCGGCGGAGAGCTCCTTACGTTTATTACGGACGTTCGGTGCGACGAAACTCCGATGCGGTTGGTTTGCGTGGGCGGTGATGCGTTGTGGAATTTGCCAGACAAATTTATCAGCACGAGGGCTGCTTTGAGGGGACACGTTGTAAAGTTGGCAGAGTCGCAGCGCGACTGCGGCGTGACGAAGCTTCTGCAAACAGAGTACGTGCTCGCCATGACGGTTCAGGTTGGTGGGCAGTTCGTTGTGTTCTCCTTCAGGCCGCTTGTGCCGATCCAAGCGATGGGCCGCACGACCAGCAGCACATACTACATATGGCTACGTCGTTCGGAGATGTACCTAGCCATGTCTGGGATCAAGTCTGAGTTTAACAGAGTGCAACGGGCTCTGTGTTCAGACGGCGGCGCTGTTATCCAGCGCGCGGAGCGGGCCAGGTACAGGGATACTCCGGACGAGCCCTGCTTGCGCACCTTCGACTGCGTCCACAAGTTCTACCGCGCGCGCGAGGCCATGGGCAAGGTTGCGCCGCATACCATCACTTGCCTCACGCACTGCATGCTCAGCTAGCACTTTTCCAACCACATGCGGTTATTTCGCACGGCCTGTAGGCAGGTCATCTGCAGCAAACTGAACGTGGTCGAGGATGGCGCCCCGTCCCCAGCAATTCGCTTGAGGAATGAGGAAGCGTTGTCCGTGTTTTGGCCGAGGACGAAGGGGTTCATGGCCCAGCGTTGCGTTGTGCTGCCTTTGGTCATAAGCGACTTCCGTGGCCGCACAACCATGGTGTGCCATTCTGGCGGCGACGAACCCGATCTCGTCAAAGCTCGGTGCATCACGCACCTCGTCAACGCTTTTCTATATCATCTTCCAACGAGCTTCCCTTAGGAACTGGGTTCGAGCGGAAGAGTCGCCCAGGTTTGTTGGGGCGATGGAGACGTGCTGTGGCCTCTTCAGCGACGCCTACGTGCAGTTCTGTAGGCTCCTTGGATGGAAGCGGGCAGGTTTTGCCCTCGCCGCGCCTGTCCTCGGCCCTGGCGGTGGCGGCGATCACCCTGCAGCCGCCCTGGCTATCGACGACGACCCCGCCCATGGAGACAATGCCGATCATGGCGCGGACGGGGCCGCGCAGCCAGCTGCGCCCAGCCTGGCCGATGCTCAGCATGGGGTTGATGTTGCCGCGTCTGCTCAAGACCACATGCACCAGCAGCGCGGCCAGCATCGGTTTCGAACAAGTGCTGTTCAATGGTGCCTCTCGAACAGTTTCCTGGCCGACATTGTCATATTGCACGTGATGCTGGGCCTCCACGTTGAGCTGGTGAGACACGAGCTGCTCGTTGCTGGCGAGGACCAGGCAGGAACAACCATATTCATAATAACCGCACCAAACGCACACGCATCTCACATCATGGTAAGCAGACCCCACCCGTCCCCTCTTGCTTCTTGCGTCCACTCCCCCCCCCCCCCGCGTGCTCCGTCGGTGCCATAGCTCTCGTGGCACCATTTCCCGTCCTGCTCAGATCCCCCCTCTTGTCCCCCTCCTCTACGAATCCCCGCTATTCCCCCGTCTCTCACAGCGCTCCCCTCCCCCTCCTGTCCTCTCCCCCTCCGCTGTTTCCCAGGTCGCTTAAGAAAGCTCAACTGGCTCCCAAGGTGGCCCCGAGACATCCCAAAAGCGCCCGCAAACGTCCCAATAAGGCCCCATAGACGGGTGAATGAGGTCGCAACGAGGCGTCCACATACGAAGCAATCACCCTTCAAAGGCCCCCAGGACGGCCAAAGATGCCCCGAGATGGCCAGAGGGGCGCCACGAGTGCCAAGGATGCCCCAAGACCGCCCCAGAGGGCTCCAACATTTTCCCAGGGCGACCCAAGTCGGCCCCGTGCGGATCCTCGAGAAGGCCTCAAACTGCAAAGTCTGCGGGCGTTCCTGGCGTGAGAGAGGACTTCTGGCTATAGGACTTCTGGCTATTGATGTCACTGGCTCTAGACACCGGGGCGCCAAAGGAAGGGCGGGGCCATGAGCCATCTCGGGCGATCTTGTAGTCGCGCGCTTTCCGTTTCCGCGCCCATTCAGGGCCATCAGAGGTTGGAGGTGCGGAAGATTATGCCGATCTCAGGGCCGCACTGCAGTTGACCGAGCCTTCTCGGGGAGGAGGGCACCTGCGGGGCGGCGCGCCCGCAGGCAAACGCGGAGAGGAGAGAGAGGGGGGAGGGGCGACGGATGAGGGGCGCAAAACGAGGGATGGGGCAACATGTAAAGTAAAAGTGGAGGGGGGAAAGGGGGGGGACAGGACATGCGAGCGTGGAACAGGGGATGCAAGGGGGCCCCTGGTGCCGTTTTGGCGGTCGGGCGGCCGAAACCACGATAGTACGAAACGCTCTCGAACACATCGGATAGTGAACGCATTGTGCGTAGTGAGGCCATATTGTGGATGTTCCAGGCGCTATCGTGGGCAATTTTGGTGGCAGCCCCGTGCTTTACGCACGCGTGGACTGCGTTGGATTTTACTGAGGCCATCCTGGCTTTATCATGCTGCCCTTCTCAGTGCAACATGCATTGCCCCTTGTCCCCTGAGAGTCGCGGGGCACGTCGGTGACCAGCTTGCTCCTGCCAGTAATATATTATGTCATGTGTGATGCGCGGTCTTGTTCCCGTCCTCCTGCTGGCCCTTTCGCATGCTCATCGACGTTGTTCTCCGCGCGTCCCCCCCCCCTCCTCCCTCCGCCCACGTCGCCCCCTCAATCCCTGGTATGTTTGATCCCTGGGGGGTGGGTGGGTGGGTGGGTGGGTGGGGGGGGGGGGGGGGGGGGTGGGGGGGGGGGGCTCGCCGCTCGCCGCCGCGGCTGGGCTCGCCTCGGAATCTTGATCGTGCAATCATGTATCCTCCTGGGCTTGGTTCTTCTCGCCAGGGGGGCGTTGAGGAGCAGGCGAATGGGGTCAACAGCAGGACGGGGCCAGGACGTTGTTTTTGCGCCCTCGTAGCTCCGAGGAGCGGGGGCGGCGCGAGAGAGCCAAG